ACTAGCATCTGGTAGAAGATGTACAAACGCGAGATCGAGTCGTTGTTTCGCACTGTGCGCTACAACACTGATGCAATTAGATAGTGGCCTCTAGACTTGGGTTAAAATGATCTAAAAACAACACCATAATTTTTGGGGGGAATTTCTCTTTGTAACATATTCCAATTGTTCCAGCCCACATCTATTATGCCAGTCAACCTTTAAAGGAATAATATAGTTAGTTTGTGAAATTACCTGTAAGTAATAATTAATGATTCGACTCATGATTCAAAGCAACAATTTTTTAAAAAGGATTGTCTAATTTCCTTTATTCACCGATGCGTTTCTACACCTCACACCAGGCATATATTACGCAAATAAATCAGCACAAAATTAAGAAGTGGGTGATAAAGGAAAGGCGATATCATATCCATCATATGATTCCTGGACGTTCTGCTCAGGAATGAAGGAGTTAACCTGAAGAACGAAGATAACCGTCAAGATGACGCTGGTGTGCGGCGTCGAAACGCGTCTATGAGTAAATGAAGCTACATACTTTTTAACTAGTTGCATTAAATCACGGATGCAGAAATCACGGCCATTGATTGTTATTGCATTCTTGTCTCACCCCGGCGCTAACTGACGCTAACGGTATCATTCATTTTAAGCCTTTTTCAGTGAACTGCTTAAGAAACCCCTCCCCAATACTTTGTCATATATACTTCTACTTTCTTTCATCTAGCGAACTTTTTCAGCTCATCCTGCCATCGATATGGAGATAGGCAGTTAACTGGAAACCAGTTCTAACGTCTTTTTGACCCAACGACGGTGCGTTCCTTCAACAGACTGACTTGTCCACATCGTTTCGAAATTTCAACTTTTGTCCACAACAAAAAATCCATTTTTGCATACCCTCTGTAGCCATGACCATTTATAATGAAGATTAAACAATCAGCTAACGATGGTACTGCAAAGATGAGGATGGCAGGTATAGTGCTGCAAAGCAGAAGCAATGCAAATTGCAAAATTGGACGGCAGATTGAGTGGACATCATGAAGCAGCATGTCGTCTTTGCCCTGACTACCGTATGAAACGATGCAGCTCATCACACGTTGTACCTTGTAGTCACTGAGCAGATCGAGCGTATTAGCGATAGACGATGGTGTCCACCGTCGGCGTTGGTTAAAGAATTCATTGAAGCCTTCAGGGGCATAGGTCTTGGCGTCAGATGCAGCGGCGTACTCGATCCGGTAGCCTTGTTTTAACAGCAGCGTCGAAAGCCAACGGTCCTCGCCTAAAATCTCACATTGTCACCGTGCGCGCCGAGCGCAATATCCAGCGCTGAGAACACCTTGGTCATACTGGACGAAGTGTCGCGGTTCGATCGGCATCTTCGTGTACTTCTTGATTACGTTGTCGTCCATAAGCGCTGAGGCGCGGAACAACGCAAAACAACCCGGCGAACACAACACACATCCAAAAACGTGCTCGGTCGCCTTCTGGAACCAGTGCGCGATTGCGTACTCAAACTTTTGGTACCAAACGATTATGCCTTAACGATCAAACATATATACATACATATACACAAAACAGTGCGAATATAGAAACTTAAATCAGAAAGCCAAATGAACTAAATAATTAAGATTAATAAAGGACATCTGTGAATGTGAGAATTTCCATTTGGCCGTGGCGTAGAATGCTTTTAATAGGGATAAACTGTGGAAGGAAAGACGCTACGAGATAAGTTGGTGACCTATGACACTGATTTTAAGCAGGTGTGTAGACGATGTATAACTTGTAGGTGGAACCTGATGAACCGGGTCTTCCTTTGTTCGGAGAATTGAGGGCGTGGTATACTCTATATTTTTTTCACATCTTCCAGTATTGCGTGATACTTATAGCAACGGTTGCTTGTGGTATGTTATATTCCTAGCTTTTAAAGCTTTTTTCAGTAGCTAAATGACAAGTTTAAATAGAAAGCAGGAAAACAATGACAAAAATTACCACGTCCAACCGGGTGTATTCTTCCACAGGCAGAACCAAGGCGAGAATGCTTTTTCATTAGGTCGACCAACATTTGCACGGCAGCCGGCGAAAATTTCGCATCGCCATCGATGGTCAACAGAAACGTGTTATCCGCCAGATATTGTTTCCTGGTTATGTCCGTAATCTGCTCCATGATCCGAAAGCCAAGCAGATAGTACATGTACATCACCTAAATGGAGCATCCAACGTAAGTGGATACGTGATATGAAAAAATGATGCTTGCTTTAGATTGGTACACAGTTCCGCAATCCATCAACTGTCCCCCTCCACCAGTCAGGAAAACTGTGGAATAAAATTATTACCTGACTCCATCTTTTCTTGTGCCGGATCTTCTCTTTATCCTTTAAGTGAACAAAAAGACGATTGTCACCGGGCAGGGTCCACACCAAACGTCCACCGTATGGAACGTCAAATTTCAGTGCCGGCTTGAGCTTCATTTTCACTTTATGAACTGCGCTAGAAGCGAAAACAGTGACTTCACCTACCTCTGCTTCATGAACAAAACAAGCGGTTTGTAAAAGAGCATCGTTTTTTCGGTGTGATAAATAAAGATTACTGTCAATGCATATCTCAAAGAGAGCACAGTATCCATCCATTTGTCCTGTCGTGTCCTTTCTCAGGAAACAATACTCTGTTGGTGTCAATGCGAAGAGGTTTTCACTCAGAATCATAACGTCCCTCTAGCCTTATTCAGTGGCTGCGTAAACTGCATAACATATGTTCACCATCAAGAAATGTCGATCTTCGCATCCACATTTAATGAAGCATCGAAGGAAGATTACTGCAGTTTAAGTATTAAACTCCTGTAATCAGCCGATTAAAGTTTATGAGTAACTTCGAGCGGGTCTACAAACTATCATAACAGCAGAAACATTATAATATCCATATACTCTGTAATATATGCGATAATATCATAAGAGAATGCAGTATACTATACATATATATATGGACAGTACTTCATATATACCTAATATTTATGTAGTATACCATAAAATGCTATTTGTACACTGCCTGGAGTATACATACTAGGACTGTATGGTGAACTAAGTAGAATTCGTATATAAATGCTTAAAAGATAGTATAGTAAATATGTTATCCATAGTTCTGTGCACAACATACTGTATTGCAGTATATTTATTTAGCGCAGTGCATGTAAGTAATACTACACAAGCTAATGCGCGTGACATGTTACATTGTTATATGGGTTACTGCTAAATACTATGCCTTATAAAACGTATGTATGACGTAGAGTACTTATACGTCAGTATATCACATACTACGAAGCATGTATATTGCAACAGATTTATACCGTACAGATCACAGATGTAGTACACTTGTATAATTTACTGTCTACTATATTGTAAACATTTCTTTACTAATTCTATTTAGCATGTATACTCCACGCAGTGCACATTGCAGAGCATTTTAACAATGTATTAATCCTTCAGTCATCTTACTTAATAGCAAGAACTAAAAACAAATAACTACCTTGCTGCTTCGTCGATGACTGTCATAAACTGTCTGACATATTGATTTGGCACTCTGCACTGCAAATTTTCATCATATTCCCACGCATCGTCGAACATTATATGAACTAAAAAAGTAATGGCTGCTGCTAAGAGGTAGAAAAAATAAAGTTAAGTCATCACTCTCGAGTTCGTAGTAATCACGATCGACCACCTTCAGGTATTTTTGTGCGTTTTTTCGGGCACTCTGGTCCTCGTCCATTCTGTACAAAAAATAATATGTGTAAATTCTAAATTAAATATGCATGGATAAAATATTAAATTGAAAGTTTATAGTTATTTGTTGATTAAACTTTTCTGAAGTTAATGCCAATTTAGTAGCGAAAGAACGGGAGTAGACATTATGGTGAGCAACGTGTTGGAAACCTATTTTCCTGCTTGGCAGGGTCTCAAGTGCCACGTCAACTTAAGAGGCCAATAAGCAAAGGCGCTAACAAGTGGAAATAACTTTTTCAGTTTCACTGAATTTATTTTTGAAATAATTTAATTAATCCTAGAAAACACTGATTACATTTTGCGCGGGGAATTTCCATATATTCTGACAGTATGTTGATGTATATCTGCTGGTAATCAGACATATTTCATTAGTGTATAAGCGTATATAGTCTTCCAAAGCAAACCGATTGTCTCATATGGACTGATAAGCCTTAATGAGTAGGAATTGTTTGAAACGAGGCCATTACCTCATTATAGACTTGAGCACTTGGGTCATTTCTGTAGGAGTTTCGTGCCACATGGTCGCGCATATGTGTATTTTGGTAATCGTATCCGCGTTGCAGTTGTACATGGACAGCGAACTCATACTACCGGCCGTAGAGATGTCTGAGAGGTCATCGTCATCCAGGTCATCATCCACCAGGTCCTTAATTGTTCGACACTGAACTGGCGACAGAAATTACTTTCCTGCGGTGCCGCTCACCTGTGGTTTCACCTTGGTGACATTCTGACGTCGTCGGTTTAGGCCTAGGGATTGGTCGACGAGGCAGCCGAGGTACATCGGCATGACAAACAGTCTGAAATAGCATAGGTTAGTGTTTGCATGCGTATTCAGTAGTAAATGGGCACATACGTGTCTGTCCTATTCAGACGACCGGACTTTTGGGTGAACAGATGAGATACGGTCCACAGATAACTAGTGAACCAAAATATCCAGCCCCATCCTGCACGTTCGATGACCAGACCCGAGAAGATTCCCTTGAAATCGCAGTTCCAAAACAACTTGTCATTTAGCCAATAGGCGAACGCGCACGATCGGTTCCTTTTCGTTTCGCAGAGTCCAATGATGACCACAATAGCCGTTGGAATGACCGAAGCCACCGGTACGGCGTAACCAAATCGATCCATGCCGACTTTGCAGGCAAATCGCGCCATCATATAGCACAGCCAACTGCACAAAACCAGCGACACGCACAACAGCACCACCGACTGGGTGTAATGGTTTCGGCTGGCAGTCGGCATGCCCACCTCCATCGTGATATTCTGCAACTGTGAAAATGGGTTGTTGAGGTCGAACAACACTTTCACTCGGCACTTCGATCCGCCCGACAGAATCATGCAGAACAGACTCAGTACACACTTCCAAACGCTGATCAAGACGTAGCACTTGTAACGGCATTTCTGCAGTCTTTCCTTCAGATCATACAGTGTACCAAGACACGGCAAAGTTGAGCAAGTAACGAAATTTTCCCACCATCGCAAAGAAGTTAAAATCAGTGAAATTCCCAACAGATACTTCACCTAAAATAACTCCAAAAATAAAATACACTGATATGCTTAAAGTAAAGTAGGGCCGAGTTATGCTACAACTCTCTTAACTATGATTATGTTAGTCCGTTACGAATGAGTCTGATGTGTAAGCTGAATTTGCTTTTAGCCGTACGTTATCATATAAGGTCAGTTTATATTTAATCGTCGAATTACCTTGCACTTTAGGCAAGAAAGATCTTAACGAAGCAGACATTGCTTAAAATCAATAGGATTAAATTTTATACGATAAAGTGCTTTATGTCTACCTCCGAATTCAGTTAGCTGAAAATAAAATGTTAACGCGACGCACAGCGAATTCAACTCTATATACGTCAGAACTGAGAGTTTTAAACATTCTGTCGTGCCTCATCTAATCCGGACCATTAGGGAGCTGCACACGCGTAGAAAAGTCCAGTCCAGTTCATGAATGGTGCTGTTGTACGTCTCCTGGATTGTTTCTTGTTTCACAAGCTGTGTGTAAACTTGCTGAAAAGTAACTTCCTTCCTTTCATATCAGCAAACTTGCCTTGACCTGAAATTCATGCCACAGAGAAGAAAATGAAAGCCTCGTAGTTCGTAGCCTTCGGGATTTTGGTCTCCTTTGGACTTATATGACGAGTACCGTTTTACTATTTACAGAGCTTATGGTCTTTCGCTAATTTCCGTTTCTGTTGCAGCAGCCAGGTACATCTAAGTTGGCAAAGCTGTGGCAGAAGCAGTAACAGTTGCAAATACAAAGGCTTGGAATCATTCAGAGAAAAATTCAATATCGATTTCATAATGATGAGGCAAATCTTATGCCTGATTATGTTCTATTTGCGCAGAGCCCTGAAGTGTTCAGAAAAAAAACTTTTTCCTGAGAAAAATGTCTTCCAACGATGGCGGAAATGCTTTTAGATCTCTTCAATACATTCTCTGTGGCGATAGTTCCGAACTGCAATATCGTTGCAGTGGCTGAAGTGACAGCTGTCATTATTAAGTAATTGAAATGTGGGTAAGCATAGAAGACTAAAACCAACCTTAGATACTAAAACCTTGATATATGGCTGACTCGAGTATGCCAGTTTGCTTAGAGTTATGAAAAAACACCAAAGCAGTAACAAGTCGCTGTGATTATTCCGCTATTCGTAAGAGGTTCAGAAACTGCAGCAATTCTCGAGTCATTTCCTCTTCATCCATATCTTAAAGTCTACGCAAAGTGCTTGAAAAGGGAAAGTGTCCAAAAATGGTGGGCAAGAGATTCAGATGGAGTGCCATTTCTGACGGTCTAACATCATAAATCTGGGTTATTCTTTACTCTTACTTTTTCAGCTCTGTTAACTTCAGATGTCGAATACCAAACAACAACGAATTAATAGAAACGAATTCCATGCCAGTGGCAGCACCTGACACCTTTTCTTTCCTCCAGATCGGCGAAAATGCTGCGAATAATTTCGCCTTGACCCACCTGATAGCTGAAAATCCAGTGTAACTCTGAATTTAATTTCGAATAAGCAAAATTTTACAGCTGCGTCAAAGACCAAGAAAAATCATACCACGAAGAACCGTAGCCGAAGTTAGTGAAAGTACTGCAGTGTTATACCGGGGGCCATTTATATCTTTATGCGACTGTTCTGAAATCTGTGTAATCTAAGGAAGACGACGCCTTTGAAGAAAACAGTCGATCTACGCCAAAAATTTGTTTTTTGTTCTCCTGTTCAGAAATTTTACTGATTGGGTCAGTAGAAGGACCCTAAATACAGAGAAGGCGACAGTTTGAGAGGTTCTACTGAATCATCTGTTGTTGCTTACTTCATCGAATAACTTCAAAAGTATGCTTGATCACTTGCTGTTACATGCGATAAGGCTTCGATGAACTCTGTATTGCCATAATCTGGGCCTTTGTTCTTTGTTTCAGAGAAATACTCACTGTGCTCTCTACATACGTGAAGTAGAACTGAACCAAAGCTAAACAAGTTTAATTGTCTTGGGATAGGAATCACGAATGATGGCACGTAGGACATCGATATAGTGGACATGT